GTGCTGTTGCTGTGAGCCTGGGGCTGGCTCTTCCTTTGTTAAGTAGATGGGCAAGGGCCGTGAGGGTTTCAAGACTTGCTGGACCGAACTGAGTTCTCCTTGAGAGAGAAGTGGATGGGGAATAACTTTCTTACTGACTTATTTACTGCCACGTAAAGCAATTTAGAGCGACCCCTAAAATGATCACAGTACTAACCTGGGGCCTGCTTTGGGAAGCCCTGGTGTGATGAGGAGGCTGGAGGCTTGAGGTCCAGCTAATGGGCTGCAGGTTTTGTACATGTTCCTTTTAATGTTCTCATCTAAAAAATGGGACTGAAACTGTCTCCTGTTTCCCCCTGGCTGCTGTGGCTGAACTGTCCAGGAAGGCTCAGTGCTATCTGCCCCCGCTGTAGCTGGCTCCTTGTGGCCTGCTGCAAGATGAGCCCTTACTCTGCCCACGCACCCCTGGCCTGTCCCTGCCACCTCCAGCAGGTCCAGGGACAGCAGATCAGGGCACACCCTCCCGGAAGGAGGTACACACTATTTCCAAGGTGAGGATCGATAGAGCTCCTATGGGGCAGGCCCCGGGGCAGATGCCACCTTAGAGGCTGGAACCAGGAAGGGCTGATAGCAGTTCAGAGGGGTTAGTAAATTGCCCAAGGACACACAGCGCTAAGTCGCGCAGCTGGGATTCAAACTCAGGTCTGACTGACCTGCTGGAAGACTGGGTTCCCTGAGCTCCCTGGTGGGCGCTCCCATGCCCTTGTTCTGACCCGGGTCAGTGCCCCCATGCTCAGTCTATGGAATCCCGCTGTGCCAGGCTGGGTCTGAATCAACTTGTGCTTTCCTGCCTCTGGGCCTTTGCTTGAGCTATTCCCTCTGCCTAGAGTGGTCTTTCTCTCCTAAAGCACAGCGGACTTCTGGGTCCAGGCCTTTGCGAAGGCTTCTTTGTGTCCCTCTTGCTGGAGTGACGCATATTCCATGCTGCCTTGTGTCTGTTGGCTGCACTAGACCATGAAGTTCCTTGGGGACAGGAGCCCTGAATTGTTGTAACCCTCCTGGCAGGGGAGGCACATAGTAGATGTGACCCAGACATCCGTGCTGACATCCCCCAGGGACACAGTGCATTGAAGTATGCCAAGTGCTATTCCATGCGGCCGTGTCTCATTTGATCCTCCCAGAGGCCCTGGCACATTATCTCTTCCTTCCACACAAGGACCATGCAGACCAGAGAGCTGACATGGCCTGTCCAGGTCTCACAGCTTAGGCGGACATTGCGAAACTAAAGCCAAGTCTCCGTCAGGAGCTAGAGAAGGGCTGGGCCACAGCAGAGAGCTCCAGGGCTTCAGCCGCATCTTCCACGGACAACATCAGGAACGGGGGGGAGGAGGGGAGAGAGAGAGAGAGAGAGAGAGAGAGAGAGAGAGAGAGAGAGAGAGAGAGGCCTGATCTAGTGGGAAGGGGCGAGCCCTGGCCTTCAGGAGACCTGAGAGCTGGTCTAGCTCTGACATGGAAAGCTGATCCCCCTTGGGAGTCCTGGCCACTCTTTGAACCTGTTTTTCCCATCAGTGAAGGAATTCCTCATGCATCATCTGTGTTGGCTCATTCAACCCAAATTCACTGAATCCACCCCCGCTCCCCAATGTTGGACACTAGGGATACAGAGAATAGCTGGACGTGGGCTCTGTCCCGGAGGGGTGTAGGCTGGGGAGACACACAAGTCATATGCAGCTGGGGTACAGTGTAACGGGCGCTGTCACAGGGGTTCCAGGACTGTGGAGGTAAGGGGAGGAACAATGTCGCACAGGTGGGAGGTACTTGGGCTGAGTCTTGAAAGGTGACCAGAATTCTCCAGGTGTGCATGTGTGGATGGAACAGTGTGTGCAGAGGCCCTGAGTGGACCGCAGGGAGCTCGTAGCACTGGAACCCAGGCCCAGGGTGGAGAATGGCGGGGGGAGGGAGATGGGCAGGCTGGGGGGCAGCTGGGAGGCTCAGGCTGTCCTGTTAGTGCCTGGCTCAAACTTCAGTGTCCTGAAGACAGGACGTGCCCAGCCCCAAGCTCAGACCCAGGGAGGAGAGGCCAGGGTTTAGAAGCTGGGTTTCCTGGTTGCTGCTTTATCTGTATCTGTCAGTGGTTATGCCTGGGACTAGAGGGAGAGAGCAGAGCTCAGAGGCTGGTGACTCTGACCCCTTGGGCGTGTTGACTCAGTGCATGGAGTGGGAGGTGACCTTGGGGCAGATGGAGGGTGCAGGAGGACAGTCGGCATGAGGTGCAGCCTGTGCAAAGGCCAGGGCCAGAGAGCCTGGCATAAGTAGGCCAGGGTCAGCCTGGCGGGCAGGGGTGAGGCTGGAGAGATGGCTGAACTGGGTCAGACCCTCAGCCAGCCAGGCCTGGTCCCGGTTCTGGACCTGGGCCGAGCCGAGCTTCCCCCTCTCCGTTCGCTCCTCCCTTCCGTCCTAGGAGCCAACCTTCCCAGCAGCGCTGGCCGCTGCGCGGCCTGGAGGGTGGCCAGAGCCCTCATTCTCCACCGGCCTGGCTCTGTGACCTCGGCCAGCTCGCTCCTCCTCCTTGGGTTCTGGGCTCTGAACACTGGAATTGCTAGAGCTGATTTCTGGGCTCCTGCTTTCAGCTTCTTTGATCTAATTCTTACAGCTTAAATTGCTTCCTAAACGGGCCTTTCAGGAAACTGTGAGGCTCGTGGCGCTCCTGGTGGCTGTGTGCCAGAGCCCAGGGGCTGCCTCTCCAGGCTC